GCACGACTACCGGGAGACTGGCAGGTTGTTTAGGCCTAAATCTTTCAGCCGTAGCATCCTTTCGGGACCTAACTGCCTGCCACCCATAGGAGGCACGAGGGCTGGGATAATGTCAGTTTGCCCGAGCCGAAGTTGAGAGGCATAGGTCGGATTCGAACCATGGACCTTCGGGTCAGTAAATCCGCGCTCAAACCATTTGGGCTTAAATCGCAGTAGGCTACAGTCCAAGCCGCGATCCGAACCGTGGGTTTCTGCTAAGCAGATTCGGGGCTCTCTCGGACTCTGATAAGTATCTGGCAAGTCATGGTCGGGTGTTTTTGCTGGCTTTTGATCTGTTCGTCAAGCTGGACATTTGGACTGCAAACATCTCGTCACCAACTAAGGGGGCATCCTCAGTGTGCAGTCAAGTGGATCCTAAACTTTAGTAGAATATACGATATTTATAGTATGGTTGGTTGATTCAGAAGCAGAATTCGCCCAGCTTGAATGGACTGTTAGGAACTCCATTTGTGCCGTGGTCTCATTCCCTTCAGACAAGCTACATGTCTCCGACTGGATTGGTCTCGTTCTGCTAAGTGGTTCCCCAGGTAGCGAATGTACACTCATTTGCAAACTAATTTGGTTTTTCGAGAGACTCACCTGGAACCCAACTGAATCTCTCGTTTGTGATGTGTCCTGGCAACTGAATGTGCTGCATCAGGCCGCCTCATGTTTCAGTCGCTACGATATTCGAGATATCGCGATACTTGTATATTCGTAATGCACAGTTCCAGGAGCCCAGTTACCTGGAAGTCCTTTAGTTCTTATAGGCTGGTAGATTAAATCTGATCGACACAGTAATTGTCACAGGCATCACATAAGCCTTTTTAGATGACTTTTATGTTCCACACTCTATCCAGTCTTCCCTTCGAGGAGCCTTTACTTCAAGATGCATAAAAGTGATGGTTGCTCAGGTGCTACAGTATTCAACCGGTAATGAGGGGAGGGGCTGAGCGGTTTGCACCTATCCCTCAGAGACTTGCGTTTAGGTCACGCATTTCACGGACCCTCTAAACAGCTTATATGAATACAGTATAGGGCCTTATCAAGAAAAACGTTAAATGAACACCACAAATTATCTACCAGCAAATTATTCGCGCCGTGGTTGGTTTCTCCTGTATCACACACTTTCACTAACTGTTTGTTACACCAAATGTCTAGACTCTCAAGGAGAATGATAGATTTGCAGGCATATCTGACATCCAAAAGAAACCCTTTTAGAACGCATAGCTTGGCACTCCAACCATTTAAGCTTCATCTTAAGGCACGTATGTCAAGATAAGACCCCTTAAACATTGGAATATCACTCATCACTAGAAGTACGCACAAAAAGTTCGAACGATTAGACTCGCGTTTCACTGTGACGTCCCTCACCTGAACTTCAATCGAAATGCTGTCGTACGATCCGTGAATCAACAGACTACCCTAAGCTGACCCCCAGCGAGGAACAGCTTAGTCGTGAAAATCTGCGACAGCCCACAAACTGTTTCGCCTTTCTTGTGGTCGAAAAATAAACGATGTCACCAGATTTCTGTCGAATTTATGTACTACTTGAATGCAAAGTCTATGCGCTTTGTGAACTACTCTCTCACTGGCGTGCCTGACGATCGCTAAGAAGGGCGAAACCAGTCTTGAGCTGTCGACTGTTTTGCCCCAACATTATGATGATGAGAAAATGTAGTGCAATTTCTCGAACTTCATGACAAATAAAACGTGGAGTAGACTTTGTCCAATTGATTTAGTCTAGGAACATCGCAAACAAGCGATTCAGCTGGGGCCCAAATGAGTGTCTCGTTGAAACCAAATTCGTGTGTGTGTGAGTGCATCTCGACAAATTATTCGTCTTCAAATGTGCATGGAGAAGAATCTATCCGAAGCCAAGAACGAAAAGCGCACAAAAGCCACAAAAATATACCACGCAGTGATGGTAGGATAAAGCCTAAATGTGCGCGGAACCGCAAGTGCTTTAAAAATAAAAGGTCGTGATAGCGGTAAATCCTTTCGAATACATTGACGATACCTTGTTTGACTAATCATGGTAAATAAATCATTCGTACGAAAGTTTCCACTCAGGGTAAACATACAAACATCATCATTCGAATGCATTTAAGCGCCGTAGACAGGTTCCCATCAAATGAAGCAATCAAATAAAAAAAGCCCAAAAGGAGATTTGGCTGTTATGTTATATGTCGATCGATAGTGAACAGGGCCACATCTTCTGGTCTGACGAACGGATATGGGATGGTGTGCTAGTGACTTGTATCCACCAAGAATGTATTAATAAGAACGATTTGTCATCCTTCTGGGTAGGGCTGACTTTACAAACCGACGAGCACGACAATCGAACGCAACGACCTGTTGTTGAGCAGTGCAGCGCAAGCACATTTCGGTGGGAGTGAGTCTAGCGGGTAAGCCTGACCTTGTAGACTTGACACATGAACACACACACACACATACACACCACAACTACAATTCCCGCGTTTTTTTACCAGGATCGCCTGCAAATCAGGATCCACGATACTTCTCACTGCAAAGGGGTGCCAATCGATCGTAGTTAGGTAGTTAGGGCACAACCACTAACACACCGCTTCACACAACCACGCTCCCTATCAACGCACTGATGATGTCATCTCGACTGGTGATGAAACGTTTGCAATCGAATTGCCCAGCTTAGCGAACAAGCCAACGACCACCTACGCTACCTGAGCTACCGACATTTTGCTCTATAGCTTTGGAACCCTTGATATTGGTCACCCGTGGCAACCAAAGCGCCGAATTTACTATGGTTACTCTGCCACAACACAAAACTAATTTCAACAAGAACACCCGAATTTCACGTCCGATGCTTCATCCAAGCCTCCTGACGACGAATTTCCAATATAGAAGGCTCACCGAAATAGTCAGAAGAGCGTTGTTAATACCCACTCACTATCAACAGGACTCGACCGTCCAGTTGATGAACTCCTGATAAAGTTTGCAAATGAGTGTATATTCGCTAATTTCGTGCAATTTGGTTTCAAGTAGAACATAAGGTTGACGGAAACCCGGGGACTGCGCCTACCTGATGAGCCCCAAGAAAGGCGAAACCGGTCGTGGGCTGTCGATGGATTTTCAGCAACCTTAAGAGTAGTACAATGCAAAGATATCCTGATAAAGTTCTTTTCTGACTGGCTGTTGCGATCACACATGAAGCTATTCTCACTAAAAATGTCCATCAACGAAGTGTCAAGAAAGCCTTTAAACGTATGGCGGCACAAAGAAGGCGATTTAGTCGGATAAAGCTTATCACAGGAGCGCAGTGGGATCTCCAGATACAAGATCAAAGTAGACATCTGCAACTCGCATATGCCAACTGTCCTGATGTCAGACGAGAATTTAAAGATCCCTGTCTCGTCAAGTAACAACAAATTTGTTTGATCCTGTGGTACTCAAACAGTTGGCTGAGCGAGAACGTTGCCAAAAAGCATGTCTAAGCGTACGTCTTCTTGGAGTAACATTCCTGTGAAAAATTTCATAGTTCAGCGCTGGCGAAAATTTTGTGCATGCGCGTGCTCCTGCGACAGCAATCCACATCGCCCACTGGGCCAGTTTGAAGTCGCCACGAACAGGAAAGTGACCAAATCGCAGTAGGGATACACAGGACCGTGTTTTTACTGTCAAAAGCTCCCTTTCCTTAGTGTCTTTCAGGCAGTTTGATCCTGCCTTGATTGAAAATGTGGCTTGGCAGGACTCAGCTACGTCCCATCCTTTCAACTTCCTAGCTCTTAATTAATTGAACTTCTATAGAGTTTGTTTAAATTTACCAAGAGTACAAAATGTATGAGTGAGTGATGACGAGATACTGTAATAAATCAATCTGCACGAATGACTGTTTAATAAACACATGAGCGAATTTTATTTGGAATGGCTATGAAGGGAAGTTTTTATCGAAGCTTGGGACTGCAAAGTAAGATGAAAATTTATTTTTGTAAATGTTTCCCCAGCTACTCGAAACTAGTGATGAAAAGCTCGGTGTTTTTCAATGAGAATTAAACGGTATATACAAACAAACGTGCTTGATATCAAGTAACCCACATGTGTGTGGTTTAGCGTGTGCGTATGTGTTCATGTAAACGAACCTGGTTCATCGAACTACACTGATTGTGGACTTCGTTGTCGCGCGATGATCAGCGCGACGACGCAGGCCAGGTTGGCAGCCAGCCAAACCCGCTTTCCGGAACCCGACTCAACCGCGCCAACATACACACGATCAAACACTATCTGAGTGTAGCCGTGCGGGACAAGTTTTGCAGGTGTGGCCAAGTCAACGAAATCTATTGACGGAGTGCAGACAGACCCCATGTGCCACTAAATGACGAAACAGGGGTAAGAAACTTGGAGAATCACACACACGCACACAATAAGCGAAAGATGATGACTCATCGTCCTGTGACACATTCGGAAGATGGACTTGATGATCGGATCATTCGTATAGATGGTCACCGCCGTCACATTGCTGTTCGGACATCAGACGATTGCTCTTAAATCAAAACTGCCAGCCATCAAGCAGTTGGGACGCCGAATCGTACCGGGCAAATGGTGGTTGGACACCAATCACCAATCACAGTGGAGGATGGATGGATGTCGTATCCAGGCGAAGCAAACAAACATACGTGGACTGTCAATTCTTCAAAAAGAAGTAATACAACTGAACCAGACTGGAAAACACACAGAAGTGTGCGACTGTCAGAAGAAACACTGTCAACCTCCGCTACCAATGGAGACCTGTGTAACCAGGATTTAGTACCTATTCAGTTATGACTGTTCCTCGGCGCGGACTATCACAAACAACACTTTGTCAAGCGAGTGAAAGGGGGGAATTAATCAATTCTACACCTAACTCGTATGGATATCTTGAAGTTGGCTGTATTCAGTTGGACCCAGTATTTCCAAAAAAGGTAAACGCACAAAATATAACTCACTCTTCAGCTTCGACAGAGTCCGCTAAAGCGACGTACGATGCTGGGATGTAGCCAGTCAAACCGGAATGTGTATGCTCCACAAGCCACCACTCCGGATCGCTGCATTACAGAAACGAGAAATGTATACGTTAGCAAAATGTCATTTAAAGCGGTGCACTTAGCGCGAAAATTCAAAACCAAGGAAACATGACAATTTCATGCCATACAGCTCCATCCATTCGTCATTTTAATAACGAGTTAAAGATAGTCTTTCGAAAATTCAATCGGAATAAGAATGAATCATTCAGCTATAGCACCCTTTCGGTCCCTAACTGCCACGCTATGCCATACAGCTCCATTCATTTGTCATTTTATTAACGAGTTAAAGATAGTCTTTCGAAACTTCAATCGGCATCTCAAATTAAGCCTAGAGTCTTTCGGAATAAGAATGAATCATTCAGCTGTAGCACCCTTTCGGTGCCTAACTGCCACGCCATCCGAAGGTTGCACGAGGGCTAGGATACTGCCAGGCTGCCCAAACCTAGACAGGGGAAGTCGAGAGGCAGAGGTCGGGTTCGAACCACAGACCTTTCGGTCAGCAAATTAGCGCTCTAACCATCTCGCCCCCAGAGGATTTCGGATGATGTGAATGGATCTATCCGCTTTATACACATTGCCTAATGGGGAATGTCCTCGATGAACTGCAAAGTTTTTCCAATAACTTACCATTTCAATCGACATTTCATCCAATTGACCGCAACACAGCTTACGGTAGATTGTACACAGGAATTCCAGTCTTACAAGCCGAGTGGTGATGACCGCAAAACGTTTGAATTTCATTTTCTCTTCAACTTTTAGTGAGCAAGTTTTCAAAAAATCGCATTGTTCTTGAAATCGACACAATAGGACCACTCGGAGGTATCCGTCTTCATTCCTATCTGACCTAGAAGCCTTCCTATTTTCAGACGCACCGTTTCTCTTGATATCATGCTATTCAGTAAAGAGCTACATTACCAGTGCGAGTCAGCACATACCAGAATGAGTGATTTGGCATGCACCAGAATGCATTTGGCAGTTCACAAAACCGTCTTTCGCAAGTTGACGTGCCCCTCTTGTTACCAAAACGTTTCTGAAATTTGGCCGCTGGATAAATTTGGAGACTTCATTTTACGATTTACTCTTCAGTCCAAACCCGAGACGAGTATCTACCAGCTAGATCGTTCCAATGAAAACCTACCGGTCATAACTGTGTACGAACAGAGTTTCGAAGAGATATATTTTCACTTTGATTGGAGTTCCTAACGTTCCCCCTAACTTTGTTGCTGACTTTGTTTCACACGCACAATTCATGTTTTCTGTCTCGTGGCTCATAGGCCCGAAAGAAACGTCATATTTTTCTCGGTGAGAGATTCACTAAATCATTAGCTCGTAAATCCTAAGTCATACCACCGTTTGAAATTTGATGTATTGGAATATGACTGAAATAAATTCCACACTTTGTAATGTACTACTCATAAGGTTGCTGAAAATTCGTCGACAGCTCACGACCCGGTTTCGCCCTTCTTGGGGCTCATCAGGTAGGCGCAGTCCCCGGATTTCCGTCAATCTTATGTTCTACTTAAAACCTAATTGCACGAAATTAGCTAATATACACTCATTTGCAAACTAATTTCATTTTTCGAGCGACTCAATTGGAACCCAGTTGAATCTCCCGTTGGTGATGTTTCTAGACAGCTGCACCAGGCCGCCTCATGTTTCAGTCGCTACGATATTCGAGATATCGCGATACATGTACGTCTTTGTAATGTACAAATCATAAGGTAGCGACTGAAGCATGAGGCGGCCTGGTGCAGCACATTCAGTTGCCTGGATACACCACAAACGATAGATTCAGCAGGGGTTCAGGTGAGTCTCCCGAATTAGTTTGCAAATGAGTGTATATTCGCTAAATTCCACACTTCTATTTATCCATAGGTGTGCTCGATGCACGAGTTTACACTGTCTTGGTTGTATCGATCTCCTGTGACCCTGTTGTGGCTTACACGCAGAGTTGACACAAACACGAGGTGCAAACAGTCAGCCCCTAGCCAGACCTTACATTCTGGGTGATGACTACCAACGACAGTCAGGCGTGATTGACCTCACCAACACTGTGCAAGACTTGTTTCTCCTTGTTGAATCGGGGCACAAGTTCACGCGCACATCACAAATACTAGCGTTAACACCAGCAATCATGTAATCAAGGGGACAGTTTGTGTAAACCTATTAGAATAAACAAAACTGTATATAAACTAGTCCGATGAATACTATCAATGCATGTGTAGGAACTTTGTACGATAGGTGCTGTCTACTATGCACCTGTGAAGGTTTAGTACCTCAAAAAGCAGGCTTCCCGCACTTTACCAGTCCCACAGGACAACCACATGTTCACACATCAGAGAGAGTTGAACAGGCAGTAAGACTGGCTAGCTTTCATGAGAGACCATTGTACACGCACTCACCAGAAACATCCGACTAAAAACCAACACACTCGGAGAAAACCGAACAGAGTTTTGTTTACAAAACAAGGATTCCAAAGGTACAGGTGTTCCGAAGTCATGCAGCAACCCCGCTTCAGACATGCTCATATTTAATTAGCGTAACCTACTTAGTAGATACTTCCACCAATTGTCTTATCCTCGTGTTCGAAATACTACTTTTGATGGCCATTTTTGATTGGCTATGCCTAATCAACCAAACACCGATCCCCCAATCTTACGACATATCCCGAATTTTACTATATTTGAAAAAAATGTCAGGAGTTATCCGCCGGCCCCCCTTTCCGGGTGGTGTTGACACAAATAGGTTCACACTGTAACAGCCTGTGCTTTAAATTTCAATAGTGTCTACATTCTGGTACACGCTGTTATTCAGGATTTCTGCCGAAATATTTAAGCGCACAATGTGCTAGTTGCGTTTTTTTAAATGAGGTTTATGTCAAAACGTACCTAAAGCTTTTTAAAGCCAGTCAGACAGAAATTCCTTTCACGGGTAACTTGGGGCAAAACTTGGTACAAGAGAGGAGGACTAAAATGGCGGATTTGGTTGAGTAAATTATTTGAAAACAATTCAGTCATTTTACAAATATGGCCTTTGTTGTTTTAGTTCCTTGGAATCTGCAAACGATCAACCAATCATGTACAGAATTAAATAATTCTGTTTCCAAAAACAACTTTATAATTTTAGTGACCGTTTAATTACTATTTTTTGCAATTTAGTGCTGGAAATACCTCAAAAACCTTTTAAACGAGGAAAATTATCGTAAGTCCGGCCTAAAAATTTAAAATCCTGCTTTTTAATATTTAAGGTAGTACAAGGGTCGATTCTCGTCCAGCTACTTTGTTCAAATCGTGCTAAATGTGTGATCAACCTAAATCGCCTTTTAGTATGTTAGGAAGGCCTATTGGACATTGCAGGTTGATAAGCCTAACAGCCCCAGTTTCGATCACCGGAAAAAAAGGAGACCGCGGAAAATAAATTCAAGCATTGGAAACAATGACATGTTCAATTAGTTCGGGAACTGGTTGGCCACGCATTGAGTGAGATAGCTTCAATGCACGAGTGCCACTGACTGCGCTGTTGGGTCATTTCTGCGAGTTCCATTAACTGTCAGTCAGTTGAGTTCCGTGGTCTGCATCCACGGTAGCGGAACTTGTCACCCTGACTGACTTTGCTGGTTAGTGTTCGCATACTTCACTGTTAGGTCATGCACTGTCCACCTCTTTGGCCACGCGTGAGATAGCTTCAATGCACGAGTGCCACTGACTGCGCTGTTGGGTCATTTCTGCGAGTTCCATTAACTGTCAGTCAGTTGAGTTCCGTGGTCTGCATCCACGGTAGCGGAACTTGTCACCCTGACTGACTTTGCTGGTTAGTGTTCGCATACTTCACTGTTAGGTCATGCACTGTCCACCTCTCGATCGCTTCCACTCAGTACAATGCAGGGCGAAAGGTGCTCTGCAAGGCAGACGGTCCCATGGCTTGCAGAGTACACGTCCCAACCAGCGTTACCTATGAAGCTTCCATCCATTGTGAGGGAGTACCTGTACCCTGAAACCGTCTGACTTATGTGAGCATTGCCAGTCCGATGTTCCCACCAGACCTGACCAGTGCTTCGAAAACACCGGTCAAGTATTGTGCACGTAGAGACCACGTTCCTGATCCAAGAAGCCGTATAGATACAGCCGCAAAGTAAAATCTACTCTTGAAAAACAAACTGATTCGCATTGGAACCATAGGGATCGGAAATTCGGTATAGCTCGACCACCATAAGTTGCATACACTTTGGTATTCACTTGGTTCACTACACAAGCCGCTGTTGAACACTTTTGTACGGCGCTTATGTTCTTGTGAGTAGATCTGTTGAACATTCAACATCACTGTCAGTTATTCATGCTTGTTCTTTGGTTTTCCAAGGATCACAGCAAGTAGTCATCACACGAACAATATCAAAGACCCAAGTTTTAAAAAAATGCTGTTGGTCTAAGGGTCTCAACGAGGATGGAACTTGCATTTTTTGAGTTACACTATTTGTGTTCGCTCAGTATTCGGTGCGTTTCACACATACATAATTCGTAACTAAACAAAGTTGCCGTATCTATTCCAACTCCCCTTGTCACAGCCCATTCATTCAAGCCGGATGTAAACAGATGGATCACTTTGTACCGGAAAGTGAAAACGATTATGAATTAAGAATGGAAACAGAGGTGCATGGTAGCATTCATCCTAACGGGTCTTATCCATATATATATATATATATATATATATGGAGCGATATGTACATCCGCATTTGTCATTCATCCAAACGGGGTAGAGTAACAAAAACCATTCAGGACAGAACCAAGTTAAGAAAAGTTAATCTACTAAATGTTATCCTATTGGGCTAATCGAGGTTTGATCGAAGCGTCAAGATGGTGGGTCAGCACACGATGAGTCCCGAAAAGACTGGGAACTCCTTACAGCCTTATGAAACGAAAAACTCAACTGCCTAACTAGTCTGACTTTCTAGCAGTACGTACATCAATTATTTGTATCAGGCTGTCATTCAGGAGCAATTTTTGGGGGAAATTCTGATTGCGTTG